ATCCAAACCACGACCACGCCAGTCTGACAAGGCTTGGGGTTGGAATCCATGGCACCAAACAGACTATGCACCCCTCATGGCTGAGCCGCAGCCAAAACGAATGGCCAATTTTGTGTCCCAACAACCCATGCCAGAAGTCCAAGGAGTTCTGGCCGAACACTGGGACCAATTGCCTGAAGCAGTGCAGTCAGCCCTCGTACAGGTTGGAGTGGACAGTCCTGAGTCGGCCCCAATGCAAGACGAGAGTGATCCCAAATACATCACTCAGCAGTACAAGCAGGCCACAGGACACTTGCGGGCCCTGGGCCAACGAAAGTTCCACCAAGACCTCAAGGCTTAGGCCAAACGGTTGGCCGAGCAGCTGGCCCAAGTGCAGAAGGAGCAGCAAGAGCTCCAAGCGCAACTGGCCGCAGCCCAGGCAGCCATGGAAGAAGCTGCTTCTAAATACTCCCAAGTGGTGCTGGCCAGCCAGATCTTGGAACCACCGATCGGCTCTTTGGACTCCGCGATCCCTCAAGAGCCCCAGGAGATCATGGCAAAGGTGGGCGACCTTCTGGCCCAAGCAACCACGACCATGGATCCCGACCAGAAACAAGAAATTCTGCGCAACATGGCTGCTTTGCTGCAACTGGGCACGGACCACAAAAGACGAAGACGACAAGGGCCTGTGGACGGACAACCGGCGCCGTCTGACCCAGACCGCTACATGGAAGGTTCGGACAGTCTTTGGCTGCAAGGGTAGCAGGGCTGAACCACCAGCCTTGGGTGTCTTCAAGCAGGGAAAGAGCTCTGTTGCGACGGGTGGGGGTCCCAAACCTTCAGATGGGGTAGGGACATGTCCTAGACCGCTGTTACCCGAACCATCTGCTGGCCAAGACCCTCACCCGGCGCCAGCAACGGTGAGCGCAAATAAGCCGCTCAAAATCTTCTTTGGGAACATCACTTCCTGGTCCCTCAAAGCAAAGCAAATTCTCAGCCAAGAGGTCGACATTTGCGGTGTCGCCGAACACCATCAGGCCCCCTCAACATTGGCTCCAGTTCAAAGTGGATTGGCTGACGGCTGGCTGGCAGCCGGTCATTGCCAATGCACGGTGCAACGAAACGGGAGGAACAACCCGCGGAGTTGCGTTGGCCTTCAGGAAACACCTGTCTCGCCTGGACGCGCCGGGAAATCATGACCACCGTTGGACTGCGAGCATTTTCCAAGCCAAAAACACAGAGATGCTTTTGGTCATCCTCTACTTGCAGGTTGGCGAAGGGCCCACCGGATACACCAACCGACAAGTGCTCACAGAAGTTGGTGCTTTAATCCTAACATTGAACATCCCCTACATTGTGATGGGGGACTTCAACTGCGAACCAGAGGAGTTGCTAGAAACAACTTGGCTTAGGCGCATCAAGGGCAACATTTTGGCCACTCCAGATGCCACCATTAGTTCTGGGAGTGTCCTGGACTATGCAATCCTCTCCCATAGCCTGTGGGGACGGATGGAATTAGAAGTTCAGCACGATGTCCCGTGGGGCCCCCACTATGGGCTGCTTGGCACTTTACACCTGGACGGGCCTCTGCTCCAACCTTGCGAGATGCTGGAGGACAGGCCGCCTCTGGATTTGTGCTCCGGTCCGAGGCTTCCCTGGGAATCTTTTACTGCCTTGGAAAATTTTGACACCAGTGCGATGCCAGAGTGCAACCATTTTCACACGGATAGTGAGCTCATTCAAGTTTTCGGCAAACTGCAGAGACAAGTTTCCAACTTTTTGAGTTCCACTTCCGTGACTCCTGTTCCTGCACGTGGTATTTCTTTCCAGGTTAAAAACCAAGAGCCAAAAGCGCCTGTACTAAGAGAAACCTCAGTCCAGGACAAGCAGCTTCAATACTGGCTAGGCCTACATAGATTGTTCAAGGATATTATATGTTGTTTGCAGAAGCAAGTCAAAAATGTCCGCCGCCATTTGCAGACTCTAGTCAAGTGCTTGTGTCGGAAAGTCCACCGAATGCCAGAGCATTGGACGGCAGATCCTTGTAAAGGCCGGTTTGGCCTGCTTGGCCTTCAATATAGCCTGTATCATGTCCTGCATTTGCGGCCCAGCACGAGAGAGATGCTGCGCCTGCAGCTCGCTGACATCGAGCACACACTGCAGGGCCAAGTCCTGAAGACAATACGTCAAGAATTTGCTACATGGGCCGAAAATGCTATGCGAACAGGCAGTCGGGCCATACATAGGTTTCTTAAGCAGCCTGAGGCTCAATGGGGCAGACCCTTTCAGCACCTGCCCGTGCAGGCCAGAATGAAAGCCAGAGTCGAATATTGGTCAGGCTTTTGGGGCAGCAAAGATCCGGCTGCGCAGCCCACCCTGATTGAAATCCAAACCAAAGAAGCCGCCATAGCAGAAGCCCAGAAACAAAAGCCGATCAGCAGCTCTCAACTGCGCAAAACTTGGCAGCACATGGGCAAAAAGAAGCAAGGCCCGGATGGGTGGACGATAGCAGAGTTGCAGCGATGGCCAGAGGAAGCTATTAGCAACCTTGTTTGGGTTTACCACCAAATTGAAAACACAGGAAACTGGCCGTCCCAAGCTGTTTTCACACAGATTGCCTTGTTGCCTAAAAGCATAGTTTCAGAAAGGCCGATCTGCTTGACCAGCTTCTTTTATAGAACCTGGTGCCAGATGCGAAGTTACTTGTTGAGCAGGTGGCTGCACCATGTGCAAGCGGAAAATTTGACACCATGGGACCACGCCATGCCAAAAGGCACTATTTTTGACATCTCCTTCCACCGGCAAGGTCAAGCAGAATTACTCAAAGGCCTTGGAATTCAACAAGGTTCCATCCTGTTGGACTTGAAGCACTTCTATGACACGGTATGTCGCCAAAAACTGCTGGAGGCAGGCAGAAAACATGGTTTCCCGCCAATGCTTTTGCACCATGCCATGGTAGTTCATGGTGGCCCGAGATTCCTTTGCGCAGAAGGGCAGAGTTCCCAAGCTGTGCACACGGAGCGCAGCATAATAGCAGGGTGCCCTTTTTCTGTTGCCTTAGCAAAACTTTACCTGTGGGAAACTTGCAGCTTAGTGTATTGCATCCATCCGTCTCTGCGAGTGTGCTCTTGGGTAGATGACATTTCAGTTGACGTGATTGGCCGCAGCCCACGGCAAGTTGCCGATCGAATGGTGAAAGTCTTCCAAACTCTGCAAGCCAGCTTGAAAGAAGCCAAATTGCAACTCAGCCCAAACAAGTCTGGCATTGTAGTCAACACAAGAGAGCTCAAGCATTGCCTGCAGCAAGTCGCAAACAAAGTTCCGCAGGTGCAGTCAGTCCTACGCGACTTGGGTTGTGATAGCACCGCCGGTAGACTCCGTAGATTACCTACTTTCAAGGCCAGATTTGGCAAAGCTAGAAAGCGGCTCAGTAGATTGAAGTACCTCCCCAAAGCTCATGGCCACAAGTTTGTTTTCACCAATCTCGTGCCAACTATGAAGTTTGGGCACCAGGCCCAAGGAGTCAGCCTCACAGCCTTGCAAAAAATGCGGGCGGTCATCGGCCATGGAGGTGCTCTTAGGAAGGGATCTGGTTGCCTGCACACTGCCATTCGCCTCGTTTTTGATGCCAAAAGTGACCCAAACATTTTTATCCCATTGGAACATTTTAGGCAACTTTGCAAATTCTTTAGCGCAAAGGCAGAGACCCAAATGAAGATGTGCAATCAAGTTTGGCAAAGTCTTGCCAAACAAGTTTTCCAGCATGACAAGCATTGGTCCATAGTCAAGGGGCCACTCGCTGCTGGTCTTGCATACCTGAAAGACGCTTTGTGGGAAGCGCATGACTTGGAAACTTGGATTGACCCCACTGGGCAAAGCTGGCCAGTTGATGTCAGGGACCCGGACTTCTACTGGCGTTTCGCTGAGCGTTTCCAGTTTTGCAAGGATTTGTTAGGTTGGCATATTGCCAGTCACCGGCAAGGAGGTCAAGGCCTTGAACAAGGCGGAGACTTGTTTGTTGCCAAGAAACACAGGAAGCAGTTGGCCAAAGAGAAAGGGAGTGACTTACCCCTTCTGGATTTAATGCTGCAAGGAGGCCTCTACCATGGAAGCCAGACTGGGTTTGAACCATGTCCTCTCTGCAGCACGGAAGACGGCTTGTTCCACAGAATTTGGCAGTGCCCAGCGATATTACGTCATGTGGGGATGTGCCGCCAGCTTGGGCGCCCCCATGTGGACGAAACTGCGTTTTGGCGCAGAGGCAATTCCCCGATTTCTTGGAGCCAAGTCAGTCCTGGCCCACCGCACCTTCAAGGTATTGGCATCTGGGCCAATTTGATCCCTGTCTCCACTGCCGGCCTCATATTTGCCACTGATGGGTCTGGAGGGCCTTTGAGTAAAGAGCCACGCTTGCGGCAGGTTGGATTTGGTGTAGTGGCCCTTGCAGCTGTCGGCCCTCACTCTATTGTCGGCACCCTTGTAGGAACCATCCCAGGCCGACAAACAGTGCCAAGAGCAGAAGCTTTTGCGTTTCTAAAGCTGCTAGAAATGACTGAAGGCCCCGTTAAAAGCTGCATCGATGCCAAAGCTGTTTTTAGGAAATGGAAGAAACTCAAAGACATCACCCAGCTGTCTGCCGACTTGGATATCTGGGGGCCATTAGCTAGGCAGAAAAAGGAAAGAGCTGAGGTTGAAATTCACTGGACGCGATCTCACCTGTCAAAGACAGAACATGAGCGATTGTTTCCAGACCAGCAGTGGATGCACCAAGCTAACGCAGAGGCGGATCACACGGCTTCTACCTTTGCCGATCAACTTGCTGAATCGCTGAACCTGAGAGCTAAACAGGAACTGTTGACCTGGGTAGATGCTAGAGTGCATAGGATCCAGACACGTTTGATTGAGGTTGCCAGATTCTGGCTAAGCCAGAAGGAACCAGGAATCAGTAAACCGTTGCAAGTACAGAGTAGCCCCAAGCCTGCCACTAGGAGTGAGCTCATTCAATTTTTGCACGTCACGCATTCTCGTCACCTGTGGGGTCCTGTTCTTTCTCAGGGGTATGGTAGCAGGCGGTGCTGCACCCGCTGTGAGCTCACGATTTTGGCCTATTGGGGTCAACACAAGGTTTCGGTTTTAGCTGGCAAACCTTGCTTTTCCAGCAGCGCGGATTTCCTTGGACCTGTTGTGCATCCTTCTTATCGTTTGACTTGGTGTTCGGACCCTAGAAGGCACAGATGTGTTCAGTGTCGAGCTCAGGGAACCACGGCGCAGCTCTTTTTGAAACCCAGTTGGCGCAAACCTTGTGCCAGAGAGACTAAGGGCAGGAGGCTCTAGAGCTTCGGTTTTGATGGTGTTGCTTAGGAAAAAAAAATCTCTGACTACTATTTGGACTTTCGACGGATGACATGATTTTTTCTTGCTGGTCCCCTTAATTGAAATTATTTAATTTTTAAAATGCAATTACACATAAGGAATTTAATATAATAAAGGGAGGACATGCCATTCCCCCCCTTAGGGAGGGAAATCCCATGGAGACTTATTGCAATTAGTAGCGCTACCGACTACATTAAGGGGAGGGCATTCAGGTGAGTTTCTTTAATGCAAGCAAGAAATTTTTAAATAGGTAAATTATTTTCAATTTTAAATTCGAATTTATTCATTATTAAAAAAGAAAAAAGAAAAGGATGTAAAACCTAATTACCTAACCGATTATTCATCAGAAGTAAATTTTATGGATACAAAATTATTAGGCTGCATAACAATATAAAAATTCACCGATTTGGCTGCATAAAGATTTCCTTTGCTTTATTCGTATCCCATAAACAAATTAATCCAGCTTTTCTATTCGAATTTTAGTATTATTTATCAATTTTTTTAAATTAATTTTTAAATATTTACGAATTACGATTTCCAAATAATTTAGTATCTTTAAATACGTCCCAAAAAATATATAATAAAATATATATATATATATTAATTTTTTCTTTATATTATAAACAAGCTTTAAAAAATCCAATAAAACAATTTAACAAAACGATACATTACAATCCATAAAAACGAATAAATCATGATTTCAATAAAATAGACAATTAAACAAATAAGCGGTGGTCGAAACCCTTTAGTCGT